GCGCGCGTGAACGTGGAGCGGGGCTGCGCCCTGCCCGACCCCTGCGACTCCAGCCCCTGCCCGGGCAACAGCTACTGCAGCGACGACTGGGACAGCTTCTCCTGCAGCTGCGACCCGGGTGAGGCGCCCTGCCGCCCGCGGCCACCCCCGCGCCACGGCCACCGCGGCCCCCAGGCACTGCCACCCCCTGGGCGCTGCCACCCCTGTCACTGCCACCTGGGTGCTGCCAGTCCCTGTGCCACCCCCTGTCACTGCCACCCCCTGTCACTGCCGCCTGGGTGCTGCCAATCCCTGTGCCACCCCCTGGGCGCTGCCACCCCTGTCACTGTCACCTGGGTGCTGCCTTTCCCAAGGCACAGCCCCCTGCCACCCCTATCATTGTCACCCTGGTCACTGCCACCTGGGTGCTGCCAATCCCTGTGCCACCCCCTGTCACTGCCACCCCTGTCACTGCCACCTGGGTGCTGCCATCCCCCCTGCCCCAGCAATGTCACTGCCTTGGGAAGTGCCACCCCTTCCTTCGGCAAAGCTGCCCCGGGCAGTGCCGCCTGCTGGCACTRTCACCCCCTGCCACTGCCACCCTGGTCACTGCCAGCCCCAGCCACAGCCCCTGGGCCACTGCCACCCGCTCCGTCAGTGCCACCCGGGCACTGTCACCACCCTCGTGGCACTGCCAGCCCTGGGGCACTGCTGCCCCAAACCGTGGAGGGCCGGGCAGCCGTGGCCGCCGGTGCCCGTGCCAAGCGGTGCCCGTTCCCGCCGGCGCCACAGGCTACTACGGCGAGGGCTGCGTCAGCGCGTGCGCCCTCAACCCCTGCGAGCACCAGGCGGGCTGCAGCCGCCGGCCYGGCACCTGGCGCGGCTACGGCTGCGACTGCCCGCCCGGCTTCTTCGGGCCCTACTGCGAGCACAAGTGAGTGGGTGGCGACGGGTGCCCGTGGTGCCRTGTGGGGACGGGTGCCCATGGCRCTGCATGRGGAGGGGTCCCCATGGTGCCATATGGGGATGGGTACCCGTGGTGCTGCATGGGGATGGGTGCCCGTGGTGCCGTGTGGGGATGGGTGCCCATGGCACTGCATGGGGATGGGTGTCCGCAGCACCGCGTGACGTGTGCCGTGCCACGGCCAGGTTCGACCAGCCGTGCCCACGGGGCTGGTGGGGCCACCCCACGTGCGGGCCCTGCAGCTGCGACGTGGCCAAAGGCTTCGACCCCGACTGCAACAAGACGACGGGCGAGTGTCGCTGCAAGGTGAGGCAGCGGYGGCGGCCCCGGCGCCCGGCCCCGCGCCCGCCCYGTCCCAACGGGCACCTTCCCGCCCGCAGGAGAACCACTACCGGCCGGCGGGCAGCGACGCCTGCCTGCTCTGCGACTGCTACCCCACGGGCTCGCTGTCCCGCGTGTGCGACGCCGCCAGCGGGCAGTGCCCGTGCAAGGCGGGCGTCATCGGGCGCCACTGCGACCGCTGCGACAACCCCTTCGCCGAGGTGACGGCGAGCGGCTGCGAAGGTGGGTGCCGCCGTGCGCGGTGATGCCGCGGGGCCCCCGGGCTGTGCCCGGCCTCATGCCCGCTCTGCCCTGCAGTCAACTACGACAGCTGTCCCCGCGCCATTGAGGCCAACATCTGGTGGCCCCGGACGCGCTTCGGGCTGCCCGCCGCCGCGCCGTGCCCCAAGGGCTCCATCGGTAAGGGGACGGTGCCAGGGAGGAGGCGCCCGCGAGCGGGCAGTGCGTATGGATGCGGTGCGTATGGATGCGGTGCGTATGGATGCGGTGCCTATGCGGGCGGTACCCGCAGGGTACCCAGGGATCCAGGGGTGCAGGTACCCAGGGCACCACGGGATAGCGATGGCAGCAATGTGTGCGGATGCGGTGCCCATGAGGGTGATGCAGGTGGATGCAATGCCCGCAGGGTGGGATGTGTATGGAGGTGGTGCCCACAGGGGCTGTGCCCACAGATGCGATGTCCGAGGGGACGTTGCAGGCAGGTGCATGGCGGTATTGCCCACAGGGGCGATGTGTATGGGCACACTGCCCGCAGGGCGATGCCCATGGGAGCAGTGCACACAGATGCCCACGGGGGCCATGCCCACRGTGTGGGGATGCAGACAGATGTGACATCCACAGAGGCACGACCTAGGGATGCGATGCCATGGGGGCAATGCCGCTGGAGGCAATGCCCACAGGAGCAGTGCCCATGGGAGCAATGCCCATGGGCACAATGCCTGCAGGAGCGATGCCCGTGGGAGTGATGCGTGTGGATGCATGTGGATGCAGTGGTGGCGAGGGCAGTGCCCACAGCGACACAATGCCCACGGGGGGACACGATACCCACGGCGGGACCGGTGATGCCCACCGAGCGGTGCCTGTGGATGCGGTGCCCATGGGGGAGCCGCATGCGGACACGCTGCCCGCGGGGGCGACACCTGCGCCGTCGCTGCCCCCATGCCCACCCCACGTCCCCCCTGCCCAGGCACGGCGGTGCGGCACTGCGACGAGCACAAGGGCTGGCTGCCCCCCAACCTCTTCAACTGCACCTCGCTGGCCTTCGCCGCGCTCAAGGGCTTCGTAAGTGGCCGCGCGGGCGCCGCGGGCAGCAGCCGCCCCGGGCACGGTGGCTCCACGGGCACTGACCCCGCGGCTCCGCGGGCAGGCGGAGCGGCTGGTGCGCAACGCGTCGCTGCTGGACACGGCGCAGTCGCAGCGCGTGGCCCTGCAGCTGCACAACGCCACGCGCCACACGGCCGCCTACTTCGGCAGCGACGTGCGCCTCGCCTACCAGCTCTCGGCGCGGCTGCTGCAGCACGAGAGCGCCCAGCGCGGCTTCCGCCTGGCCGCCACGCAGGACGTGCACTTCACCGAGGTGCCCGCGCGCGCCCCGCGCACGCGCTGGCACGGGGGGGCACTCGGGGTGCCCTGATGCCAGGGGGACGGGCTGCGCTTGGCAAGGGTGTCTTAGACCCCTCTTAGGTCCCCGCTGTCCCCTGTCTGCTCGGTCTGCAGGGCCCTGTGGGAAGCTGGGGCGCCCAGAGGCTGCGGTGATGGGCACCCTCTTGCCAGGGGCCTTTTTCACACCGCAGCCCCTCTCAGCTGGCACTGGGTGCCCCCCGATCTGCGGAGCCTCGCTGTCGAGGAGCCGGGCAAACCCRCGCCCAGACGCCAGGGTGACGGGCACCACTTCCATAATGAGGGGATRGGGGGCCGGTTTGGAACCGCCACCTGCGGGTGCCCCGTGCCCAGCCGCGTGTCCCCACCACCAGAACCTGCTGCGCGTGGGCAGCGCCCTGCTGGACGCCAGCAACAAGCGGCACTGGGAGCTCATCCAGCAGACGGAGGGCGGCACGGCGTGGCTGCTCAAGCACTTCGAGGAGTACGCGAGCGCCCTGGCGCGCAACATGCGCCAGACCTACCTGAGCCCCTTCACCATCGTCACCCCCAACATCGGTGAGGCGGCGGGCGCGGGCGGGCGGCCCCGCGGCGGGGTCCCTGCGCTCAGCCCCCGGCCCCGCAGTGGTGTCCGTGGTGCGGCTGGACAAGGGCAGCTTCGCGGGCGCCCGGCTGCCCCGCTACGAGGCCCTGCRCGGAGAGAAGCCCCCCGACCTGGAGACCACCGTCATCCTGCCCGAGAGCGTCTTCCGGGCCCCCCAGGGCACACGTGAGTTGTCCCCAAGCTGGGCGGGGGCAGCAGGACCCCCCAGAGTGGGTGGGGGCCRTGGGGGGCTGCAAGGGGACGGTCATGGGGCAGCGGGACGCATGGGGGGGACAGTGATGGGGACACTGGCATGACCGTGGTGGGATAGTGATGGGGACAATGTTGTGGTCTGTGGGGGACAGCAGTGGCCACACTGGCATGGGGTGACAGCCATGGGGACACTTGGCACAGGTGTGGGGGGGGACATGGGCCTGGACCCCGGGGAGGAGCGATGGGGACCCTGGCATGGCCATGGGGGGACAGCAGCGGGGACATCGGCCAGCTGCAGGGGAACATCATGGGGACAGTGGTGTGGCCGTGGGGGGACGGTCCTGGGGCCACTGACTGTGGGGACAGCAGTGAGGCAGGGCAATGTCCTTGGGGTGGCAGCAATGGGGACAGTGGTGCAGTGGAGGAGACGCTGGCATGACTGCAAGGGGGCAGTTATGGGGGCTCTGGCACGGCCATGGGCAACAGCGGTGGGGACAGCGGTGGGGACAGCGGCCTGGCCGTGGTTCACGCTGGGCCCTGCTCCCCGCAGCCCCCTCGGCCGGGCCCGGGAAGCCCCCGGCACCTCCCGGTGGGCAGGAGCAGGGGGCTGAGGAGGAGGCCGAGGAGGAGGAGGAGGAAGACGAGGAGGCGCCGCTGGTGACGCGGCACAAGAGGCACCCGGAGCGCGGCGAGGGCCAGGCCATCGCCAGCGTCATCATCTACCGCACGCTGGCGGGGCTGCTGCCCGAGCAGTACGACAGCGACAAGCGCAGCCTCCGGTACGCGCCCATGGCACGGGGGGCGCGGAGTGCATGGGAGGCGCGGAATGGCACGGGGGATGCGGGGAGCATAGGGGGCACAGAGGGCATGGAGGGTGCGGGTGGTACGGGGAGGCACGGGGGGCATGGGAGGGTGCAGGATGGCACAGAGGGCACGGGGGGGAAAGGATGGCGTGGGGGACGTGGGGAGCACGGCGGGCACAGGGTGCACAGTGGGGGCAGGATGATGTGGGGGGTGTAGGGAGCAAGGGGGGCGCAGGGGGGTGCAGGGCGGCGTGGAGGGCGCGGGATGAGGCGGGGGGCACGGGCTCCTGACGCCGCGGCGCTGCGCAGGGTGCCCAAGCGGCCCGTCATCAACACGCCCGTGGTGAGCATCAGCGTGCACGACGCGGCGCAGCGGGCGCCCACGGCGCTGCACAAGCCCATCACGCTGCAGTTCCGCCTGCTCGAGACCCAGGAGCGCTCCAAGCCCATCTGCGTCTTCTGGAACCACTCGCTGCTGTGAGAGGGGACGCGGGGACACCACCGGGGCGGAGGGGTGTCCCATGGGATGGGTGGGACAGTCCCCTGCGCCTGGAGGGGTGGCTTGGGGATGGGGATGGGGATGGGGATGGGGATGGGGATGGGGATGGGGTGGTCCCCGAGGTGTGTGGCACAGGGATGGGGTTGTGGCCGGGAGCTGTCCCCAGGGTGGGTGACATGGGGATGGGGTTATGGCAGGGGGAGGTGACACAGGCTAGGGACATGCGGGGCAGCGCTGTCCCAGTGTCCGAGGGTGGGCAGCGCGGGGATGGAGTCCCAGCATCGCGTGTCCCGTGTCCGGCGCGGGTGGCACAGCCCTGACCCTGTGTCCCAGGATGGGAGCAGGGCTTGGGGCCAGGCTGGCAGCCCTGGCAGGTGGCACAGGGATGGGGTCCTGTCCCCATACCAGTCCTGGGGTGGGAGCCCCATGGCGGGCGCTGTCCTGGGGTGGGAGCCCCTGTGCCCGTCCCCATGTACCTGTCCCAGGGGTGGCAGCCCCCGAGCTCATCCCCGTGCACTATCCTGAGGCTGGCAGCCCCATGCCCGTTCCCGTGCCCATCCCAGGATGGCAGCCCCGTGGMAGGCGCTGTCCCGGGGTGGCAACACCGTGGTGGTCCCTGTGCCCGACCAGGGTGGCAGTCCCCATGCCCATCCCCACGTGCTGTCCCGGGGTGGGCAGCCCCTGTGCACTGTCCTGGGGGTGGCAGCCCCGTGGTGGTCCCYGTGCCACTCCTAGGGGGTGGCAGCCCCATTGCCATCCCCGTGCCGGTCCCTGGGGTGGCAGCCCCGTGCCCGTGCCGGTGCCGGGGTGGCAGCCCGAGGCGGGCGCTGACGCGGCGCGCAGGGCGGGCTCCACGGGCGGCTGGTCGGCGCGCGGCTGCGAGGTCGTCTTCCGCAACCGGAGCCACGTGAGCTGCCAGTGCAACCACCTCACCAGCTTCGCCGTCCTCATGGACATCTCCCGCCGCGAGGTGCCCGGGGGCGGGGCCCGGGGGCGGGGCTACACGCGGCCTCACCAATGGGGTGGTGTGGGTGGAGCCACGCAGGGGTGGGGCCCCGGTGGGCGTGACCGTGGGAATCGCTGGGGAGTGGGCGTGGTTATACGGGAGGGCGGGGCTCCCCGTGGGGCACTGGGGCGGGGCCGGGCGTGGTGGCTGGGTGTTGGTGGGGGCTCCCTATAGGGATGCTGTGGGTGGGGTTCCCGTGTGGGCGGGGCTTCAGGGGGCAGGTGGAGTGGGCGGGGCCACAGCTTGTGGGAGAGGCTGGAAATCTGTGGGTGTGGGCATTGTGGGCGGGGCTTCCTGCTGGGGCGTGGCAAAGCAGAGCAGACAGGCTTGGGGGGCCTGGACATGTGTGGGCGGGGCTTACCCACGGGTAGGCGTGGCTCATGGAGGTGGGTGAGGCATTATGGGCGGGGCTCTCTTGAGGGACATCTCCTGATGGGGGCGGGGCATTGTGGGCGGGCTGCCGCTGAGGGGTGTGGCCTGGTGGAGTGGGCGTGGCCTCAGTGTATGGGGGTGCTTACGGGCGGGGCTTTACCCCGCGGGGAGGTGTGGCTCGTTGGGGTGGGTGTGGCGTTATCCCGCGGTGGGCGTGGCTCCGAGGGGGCGTGTCCTGACAAGGGGCGGGGTCCCGCAGAACGGGGAGGTGCTGCCGCTGGCGGCGCTCACCTACGCGTCGCTGGCCGTGGCGCTGGCCGGGCTGCTGCTGGCCGTGCTGGTGCTGGGCGCCCTGCGCGGGCTGCGCTCCAACCGCCACAGCATCCGCCGGCACGGCGCCACCGCCCTGCTGCTGGCGCAGCTCGTCTTCCTGCTCGGCATCAACCAGGCCGAGCTGCCGGTGCGCCCGCCCGCCGCACGGCTACCTGGCGCGGGGCGGGCCGGGGGGGCGCCGCTGCGGCGGCTGGGTGGGGGGTCAGGGCTGTCCCAAAGCCCCAGTGAAGGGTGGTCCTGGTGGCGGGGGGAGCCACTGCGGGGTGGCACTGGTGTGGGGTGGCACTGGTGTGGGGTGGTCCCACTGCAAGGTGTCCCCACTGCAGGTTGTCCCCCGTGATTGGGTGGTCCTGCTGGTTTGTGGTACCGGTACTGGGTGGCTGTGGTGTAGGGGGGCGCCACTGGGTGGTGGTATCTGCTGTGGGGTGGCCCTGGTGCTGGGTGGCTGTGGTGTGGGGTGTCGCAGAACTGGGTGGCCGTGGTGCAGGATGTCCCCATTGCAAGGCAGTCCCCCAGTGCTAGGTGGCCCTGGTTCTGGGTGGCCCCAATACRAGGTGTCCCCGGGTGCTGGTTGGTCCCAGTGGGAGTGATCCCTAAGGGGGTGTTGCTGGGTGTCCCCATCACAAGGGGTCCCCTGTGCTGGGTGGCCCCACTGAGCACTGTCCCAGGGTGCTGAGTGTCCCCATTGGGAGTGGTCCCTTTGCGGGGAGGTGTCCGTGGGTGCTGGGTGGCCACGGCAGGGGGTGTCCCGGTGCCGGGCGGCGCTGGTGACGGGCGCCGGGGCGCAGCTGGCGTGCACGGTGGTGGCCATCCTGCTGCAGTTCCTGTACATGAGCGCGGTGGGCTGGGCGCTGCTCGAGGGGCTGCACCTGTACCGGCGCCGCAGCGAGCCGCGCCACGTGGACCGCGGGCCCATGCGCTTCTACCACGTGCTGGGCTGGGGGCTGCCCGCCTTCATCACCGGTGAGCCCCGCCCACCGCGGGAGCCACGCCCACGAACCGAGCCACGCCCCTGCCAGAACCCCATCCCCAGCATGGCCACGCCCCCATGTGGTGGCCACACCCCCTGCTGCAATTAACCTGTCCCCTCCCCAGCCCTGGTTGTGCCCACGCCCCTCATCAGCATGGACACGCCCCCATGTGGTGACCACACCCCCCGCTGCAATGACCCTGCCCCCTTCCTAGCCCTAATTATGGCCACGCCCCTCCTCAGCATGGCCACGCCCCCATGTGGTGACCACACCCCCTGCTCCCCTAGAGCAGGAAGKCTTTGGCCCCGCCCCTTTGCCATGATAGCTCCCCCTCCAACCTCAGCATTGGCCCCGCCCATACCACGTGGCCACGCCCTCTTCTCCCTGCCCTTCTTCTTAGGCGATGCCCTTTACTTTAGCCCCACCCCCAGGAGCATAGCCCCGCCTCCAAGAGCACAGCCACACCCCCRAAGGCATAGCCACGCCCCCATGCTCGTAGTCCTGCGCCATTAGCATAGCTCTGCCCCGAATAATCCCACCCCCAAGCCCACAGCCCCGCCTCCAATGCCAGAGCCACGCCCCCATGCTCCTAGCCACGCCTCTGTGCATAGCCACGCCCCCATGCTCCTAGCCACGCCTCTGTGCATAGCCACGCCTCCATTGCATGACCACGCCCTCCACAAGTCTAGTCACGCTCCTGTGCTCATAGCCACGCCTCTGTGCTCATAGCCACGCCCCCACAAGCCTCATAGCCCCGCCCCCCTTCCACCCAGCCCCTCTGTCACRCAGTGCCCTATATCCACCGGGCCCCGCCCCTTCGGGCCCCGCCCCTCCTGGCCCCGCCCCCAGCGGTGCCTGTGCCCCCAGGGCTGGCGGTGGGGCTGGACCCCGAGGGCTACGGCAACCCCGACTTCTGCTGGCTCTCCATCCACGACAGCCTCGTGTGGAGCCTCGCGGGGCCCATCGCCTGCGCCGTGGCGGTGCGTAGGGCGGGCGGCGGGGGGCCGCGGCCCCGCAGCACCCCCCTCCTCACCCCGCTGTCCCCACAGGCYGGCGTCTTCTTCCTCGTGCTGGCGGCCAGGGCCACGTGCGCCAGCGGCCAGGGCTGCGAGAAGAAGCGCACAGTGTGAGTCCCGCCGGCGCGGGCACGTGTGGGGTGTGGGGGCCTCAGGGTGGCACAGGCACTGGGGGGGTGTGGGGTGCTAGGGGTGTGGGGCACCCCGGGGTGGCACGGGCACATGTGGGCACGCGGGAGGTTGGGAACCTGGGGTGCCCATGGGTGGCACGGGCACATGCACAAGGCTACAGGGCAATAGGGATATGGGATGCCCATGGGTGCTGGGGTGAAGGGTGCTGGGGACACGGGGTGCCCATGGGTGGCACAGGCACACTTGGGGTGCAGGGTACCAGCAGTGTGTGGTGGCAGTGCATGGCACAGATACACAAGAACSTGGGATGAGCAGGGACATGGGGCACCCACGGGTGGCAGGGCACCCTGGGGAGCTCCAGCTGGCACAGGGCACCCCTGGGGGGGGGGGGGACGGCCCGGGGGCCCCGTGGCCGGCGGTGACGGTGCCGGCGGCGCAGCTCGGGGCTGCAGACGGCGGTGGTGCTGCTGGTGCTGCCCAGCCTGGCCTGGCTCCTGGCGCTGCTCTCGGTCAACAGCGATGCCATCCTCTTCCACTACCTCTTCGCCGCCTCCAACTGCGTCCAGGTACCGCTGCCCTACGGCCCCCGCGCCCGGCGCTGCCCGGGCCCCTGCACCTCCCCGTGCCCTATACCCTGCCCTGTGCCCCTATATCCTGCCCTGCACCTCCCCGTGCCCTATCCCCTGCCCTGTACCCCTATTCTCTGCCCTGTGCCCCTGCACGTCCCCGTGCCCTATCCCCTGCCCTGTGCCCCTATCCCCTGCCCTGTGCCCCTATACCCTGCCCTGTGCCCCTATAGCGTGCCCTGCGCCCCTGCACCTCCCCGTGCCCTATACCCTGCCCTGTACCCCTATTCTCTGCCCTGTGCCCCTGCATCTCCCCATGGTGTGACCCCATAACGCCTGCCCCCATCCCCTATCATCCTCCCCGCACCCAAATACTGCCCTGTACCCTCCATCCTCCGTCCCCATCGGGCTCAGGGGTCCCCCTGTGCCCCCCAACATTCTCCGGGTGGGTGCTGGCATTGGGGGGAGTCCAACACCACCCCGGTGCCCACGGTGCCCCCTGTGCCCCCCAGGGCCCCCTCATCTTCCTCTTCTGCGTGGTGCTGAGCAAGGAGGTGCGGAGGAGCCTGCGCGCCAGCTGCGCCCGCGGYGCCGCCGCCGACCCCGCGCTGGCCACCAAGGCCACGCTGACGGCCGTGAGTGCCCACRGCCACGCAGTGGGGGGGACACGGGGACACAGGGCGTCCCCGCGCCCACCCCGCACCCGTCCGCAGGCCTCGCGCTGCGACAGCACCTACGTGGCGGGGCGGGCGGCGGGCGGCTCGGCGGCCTCGCTGCCCAGCACGGCGCGCTCCCAGCACAGCTACATCCCCTTCGTGCTCAGGTGGGGCCGCGCGGGCGCCGCGGGGCAGGGGCACGCGGCCCATGGCCTGTAGCCCACGGCCCCCTCGTGTCACCGCAGGGACGAGGCKGCACCCGAGGGTGGCCGCGCGGGGCAGCCCGAGCCCGGCGGGCCCTTGGCGCAGGAGGAGGCGGCGGCGCTGGCGGACGGTAAGCACGGCGGGCGGCACGGCGGGGATGCCCCACGTGTCCCGGCTCACGCGCCGGCCCGCGCAGGGCACGACACCGACTCCGAGAGCGAGCTGTCTCCGGAGGACGAGGGCAGCGGCTCGGGCGCCTCCTCGCGCTCCTCGGAGAGCGAGGACGAGGGCGCCGAGGGCTGCTGGGAGAGCCTRCTGGGCGCCGCCGCCGTGCCCGCCGTGCCCGCGCAGCCCTACTGGCCCGGMGACTTCGTCACCACCACCACCACGACGGCGAGCGAGAGCGAGGGCGCCGAGGCGCTGCGCGTGCAGCCGGCGGGCGGCCCGGCCCC